TAGAAGGTAAATGCATGGTGGGTTGCATGTTAAATATTACTCTGTATTTGACTATTTTCTTTATCAGACGGGATAGACACATAAAATTGACTTTTACAGGGAGATGTATACAAAGACCAAAACACTTTTGAAATTTTATGTGTATATGTTCCATTAAATAGTATCTGACAGGAAGGAACAGTTTTTAAACATGCCATGCTTATTTTCTTTCTAGTTCGTTCTTTAGTGGTGGAGACAGCTGGCAGAGACTCAGTCACAACCTTTATCTCTGTATGATCTTTATAAACAATTCCTCATCTCTCTCTGAGTTTGCTCAATCATCCTGCTTATTCTTCCCATCCTCTTAATGCCATGGATTATTTTTTTCCATTTCATTTTAGTGTATAAAAGTAACAGGAGTTTTTCAAGCACCGGCTGCAGAAAGAAGATGAATAAGTAATTAAATGCTACAGGAGCTGCTGATTGGCACATAGGGCTACAGTGTGCTGAACTGATATGAGTTACAATAACATGCATCTTTACTTCCTTGAAAGAGAGCATAATGAGACCTGATTTAAATATGTTCTGTTTTTAAGAAACATCCCATGTGTTTTCTTTGAAATTAGCTTTGCCTTCATCTGTTGGAACTATTAAGCAGATCTGTTCCTTGAATTATTCTGTACAATTCAAAAGAGAAAAAGAGACTGCAAATTAACAGTGAATAATTTTGGAAGTCCACTTATTATGCTCAAAAAACAATTTAAAGGTGCAGCTGAAGGACATAGGTACTTTCAGGATACACTAAACAGTGTAAAAATCACAATAGCAAAAGTTTTGGAGCTTTTAAATTTTCCAAGAGAGGAAAATACTTCAGCTGCAAAGCATTCCCAGCAGAAATTTTGTAATGCCCTGGTTTAGACAAGTTCCTTTAAAAATCTTACAAGAAGGGTTGGGTTTTATATTAGAAATCAGATGTATCTTTAATGAAGAGAGGGCGAATAGGTTCGATTATCTTGGTTTAACAGAGCAACTGGTCTATCTGTCTGCATTTTCAGAGTTATAAAGGGAGTAACGTGTGTTTCAGAGTCACTGAAAGAGGAACAAATCAAAATGGAGAGTAAATCCCTGGCTCATGGCTGAAAATCATGGAGGCCCTTCTGTTCTCTTTCCTGAGAGGATTGTGTTAGCTGGGTCCTGCGTTGTCCACTGTAGTTGGCTAATTTGAGACCTCATACCTACAGAATGAATGCTGCAGTGCTGATTGTAGTTATTGCTTTGTTTCATGCTGCATAAAATAGTTCAAGATTCTAGTTTTGTAAGCACATGTCCACCTACCAGCGGAAGACTGTTTTTCAAAGCAGGTTTTTGTAAAGTATTTTTGGCCATTGTTTAGGGTCAGCTATGAAAACAGTTTGTGTTGACACAGTATCAGCACATCAGATTTTAGGTTTTGAGGACTTTTCCCCCCTCTTTTATAAGAATCAAGAATGTCTAAAATTAGTGTTGGTTTCTCCAACTCTTGCATGGCCTGGTTTATGTAGAAAGTAACAATGGACTTAGAAATGCAACAGAACTGTGTAAACTGTAGACATTGGCTTTAATGGTCTGTCACCTGTCAGATTACTAAGGGAAGTGAAGCTTTCATTTTAAATCATTACCTAAAGTACACAGTAATTTTGCAGTTTATAATTGTTGTATGAAATACAGTGGTATGAATTACTGCCCAAGTTGCGTACAGCCCCTTTTTGTATGACCAATATAACTTTAAAATATTATTTTGCTTTTGTAAACATAAAAAAGCATAGTGTGTGCAAAATAAAGGTGTTATCTCTGTGGTCAATGTTCACTTTTTCATTTTGTATTCACATCTGCATACTCAACAGGACTCAACATTTGCATCCATGTGTTTAGCTTATTAGTGGACAGTTTTCAGTGACAAGTTTTGAGATGCTTCTCAAGGGTTTTTTTTTGCCATACCTTCACCTACACCTGAATCTATACCTTTGAATCTATACCAAAACTCTAGTGTTAATTTTCTCCTATTTCCTCCCTGAAACACATTGCCAGCAACAGGAGAGGAATTCACCCTCTACTAAAACCTGTGCTCCACTCAAAGCTTACAAATGCTTTAACTGTTTTAGTTCTTAATGCCAAAAGGAGAATGAAGTAATGTCCTTGTCTAGTGAAGGAGGCACATCCATTCTAAATAGCTAGTGGAGGGGTATCTCTTGAAAGACTAAATAAACCACTGACATATGTAGTTGTATTTCTTATTATATAAAAACATTTAAAATCAGCAAATTCAGTATTGTAGATTTTATGTTCCTTGCTGGGCTTTTTATGACTTACGTTCACTCTGTAGTGTTCTTCTAGATATGATTTTTCCAATGAAATCTTTATTTTGTCTGTTCAAGACAGATGATATTTCAGCTCAAGATCAGATTTATAAGTGGGTTTCTTTTTTTTTTCTATTGCAGAGAGGTTTGCTGGGACAAGATTATTGGTATTATTGGTATGCTTGGTTATCCTTGCAGTGTGTAGTCTCATTGCTCTTCTTGTTTACTGGCAGAGAGACACAGAGAAGTATATTGAGTACTGCTAAGAAAAGGTTATGCAAGCCTGAGTGCATTATTTTTGCACCTGTGGTATAAGAAAAAACCAAAACTAAACATAATCTAGGAAGTCTGTGGTGTGCTCAAGGTACTCCACTGCTAAATGATTTTAGTAGTGTTAATTCAGTGTATGGTTTATTTTATGCTAAGAGAGTTCTCTATCAAAAATATTGATAAGGATTGCTATGGATGACTTATAGCTGATGAGCTGTATGGGCCAAACTCTTAAAATCTTTTGTGCTGTCAACTTCAATTTGAACTACTTCAATGGCAAGGATGTTGGTGAGTTAAATCCAAGGTCTCTTAGGTCAAACTTGATTGAAGTTTTATAGAGGGTCAGGAGAAACTGATGAAACACACTATGTGAGGGTAAACAGGACAGACAGAGCAAAAGAGATCTATCTCTAGATTGTTTCTAACTGCTGGAATTTCTTAGCATACTCAAAATGTGACATAGCCTCCCTTTTTTTTTATGCTTTGGAAATATTTTGGAAGTTGTATGGAGGGGAGAAAAGTAATTCTAGAAATATTCCCCACTTCAAAGTGTAGTGATCAGCCCTCTGTTTCTGACAAAGTTTTTGAAAATAAAATGCATTATATTTTACTGATGCATCCACACAGGTTCTGCTAACCAAAAGTCTTTTTTAAATGGGGAATTTTTTGAGCTGTAAATACTGCCTTCCTTCTTTCTTGAAAGAAATTCATGCATAGAGAATGCTTTAATGATTTGTAACCTGTGGGTGATTCAAAGGGTCTTATTCTAGTGTGTGTAATGTCAAATTAAAATATTGATAAATACTGTGAAGAACTGAAGAGATTCTTCAAGAATGTTGCTTTTACAATACTTCCATTTCTGTATTTTTTTTAATAAAGAAGGCTTATTTTTTAAATGGCAATTTTCATTTTTTACTGCATGCAGTATGTACTGAATCCTACAAAGAACATTATTGCTATTCAGAAGTATACAGAGAACACTGTTCTCAAGAGTGTTTATATAAATACAACAGTTAATGCTTACTGAAAGTTGGACTGTATAATGCAGGTTCCTAAATGTAATGGAGGTTACTGTATTTTCAGTGCTTAGTTTTTCTTGGGGTTATGTATTTATTTACATGTTTGTTTATGTATTTTATTTGAAGCAATAGAATGGAAGGATTTGGAAAGATGAGAAGGGTAAAGGCATGAATTGGGTGAGGAGGGAGGAAAAATAACATCTTGCCTCCTGCTAAGCTGAAGTCGAGATGAGGGTGTTTTTTTGTGATTGTGGCATCAAGAGACTAAGTAATGAAACAATAAGACAGCATTTGTTATGCTTTTATGGTATATGTTTTTCAAACTGTTCTGTAGTAGAACACTCATTTTGTTGTATAATGTTGTCAGCACTGGCTAACTGCTTTTTTTGATCTGGAATGGGACTTTAGCAAATTGTGACAGCAAAATAAACCTTGACTTTTAAATTAGAACTATAAAATGTATTGTAAAAAGTAAGCAGAGCATTCTAATAATATTTAAAGTATCTTCTTTTGTGTTTCTGTGTGTAGAAAATAATAAAAAAAAAAATGCCAGGAAAAGCAGTTTCCTTCTAGGTGGGACAGATTTATGGTGGAAGAAAATGCTTCATAAGAAACATAACAGCTGACTACTTATAACCTTTTGTTTTAAAAAGGTTGGTTACATTTAAACCTTTATTAAAGTCATAAGTGCTGGAGACCATTGTATCCTGAAATTTATTTCTACCACCATGAAAAAGTCTTACATAAAAATGTTTTTTTTTTCTTTCTGTATATATATTTCAAAGGATTTCTGCATAATAAAGATAAAAATATGTTTTGATTAGGTGAGAATATTGCTTTTTCAGAATGTGTTATCACAATAAAATTTCTGGTACATTTTTTCTAAATTTTAAAAATATTAGTAAATAGCGGACAGAAACAAGATGTTTCATTTTCTAAGGAATGTTAACAATTTTTTCAATTCACCTTCGCATGTAAAATAATTTACTGAACTCTTAGTAGATGCAATTTGCTTTTATTCCAGGTATCAAAAAAGAAAACATTGTTGTAGCAATCTACTATATATTAGCAATCCTGTTGAAAGCAATAAACTCATTAAATTTAGTTTCTAATGGAATTTTAATGTAGTAATTTGTTTTGTTAGGATTTTTTTTAAACTTGCCATCATCACCTTTCTTGTATTCCTCTCTTCAAGTCAATTTCCTAAAAATTACCCTTCCAGCCTCAATTTCTTGCTCCTTCTGTTTTGTAAAATTTGCATTTTTATCTTGCAGTCCGATTAACATTGGCTATTACTCACTCACTAGGCAGGTCTGCTTGGAGAGATGAAAACAGAAAAAATGATATTGTTCACAAAGTCAAGTTACAAATGCATTCTTCTTTCCATTCTCAAAAGGCACTGAGGCGTGAACTGAAGGAAAAAGAACAAACTGTTCTCAACGCTGTGGACCAGGCACGAGTTTTCCTTGCTGACCAACCAATTGAGGGGCCTGAGGAACCAAGGAGGAGCTTGCATTCAAAAACAGGTCAGAAAATACTCACTGCTGGGGAGGGTCAAAAAAAGAGAGACAGGACTTGCATGTCTCTAGTACATATTTTATATCCCAGTTACTTGCTCAGATTTTTCTAAATGGCATCCTGATGGCTTTTATTTCAGTGTTTTAGACTCAAGGGTTACTTTCCTGCTTTGTAAGATTTCAATGGAAATTTGTAACATTTTAATGGAAGAAGTAGAAACATCTCTTCTGCCTTTTCCAATTTTTGGTTCAAAACACCAGTGAAATTTTTTTCTTAACATAGTAACATATGCACCTTAAATGTAGTCAGAATAGTACTTCAAGGATTCCCATTCAAACATCCATATGTCTGTTGCAAAGTTTTCTCCACAAATAGAAATAAGCATGTTTAGTAGTGTATCTCTTTATAAGTAAAATAAATTTGCTTTAGGAAGGCAGTCATTACAGAATCCTTAAGATTTGAATATTGGGTGAATCATTGCTGAGGAATGGAACCACAGCTATGCTAGAAACTGTTTTTTGCATAGTATTTGTTGAGATATTACTCTAAATATCAGAGGCCTGCAAAAAGTTAATTTTTCTCCACTCCCCCACAAAATAGGAAATTATCTCTGTAAGTTCTACAGTCTGATATAAGCTACAGCATTATGAAGTCTTAGTTACACACAAACTGTTCTCAGAAAAGGTAATAATCTGCTTTTACAGAACTGTTATTTGCTGTAAGGTTCTGTATAATTTACAAAATTTACTGTTCTGTATAATTTACAAAATTACAGTATACCTGCTTTTATCAGGAGTTAGTTTTTTATTTCCATACATCATGTTATACATCTCCATTGCTAACTTCTTAAGTTTGTTCAGTGGAAACTACTAATCTCCTGCATCCATACTTTGTGTTATTTCTGTACAAATTTTTAAGTGGTTTCATATTCCCTAGTTCAACTTTATCACAAAGTCTGAATAGCTGGTGATTAAAGCCAATGAACCATTTATCTCATTGATTAGTGCTGCTGGTACTCGCTTTACTTCTGTTTTGAGCTCCTGACTCCTGAAAATATTCCGTTTTTTTTTACTCTCGAATCCATTTGATTTATGGCATCTCCAATGTTTTAGTTGGTCTAAATCACAAGAAACCTTGCAGTTGAAAAGTAAGGATGCTCTTTGTATATTTGTTCATTCTTTCATACAGAAGTCTGAAATTTCAGGTTCTCTTCTCAAAAACATAGAACCTCTCAGTGCAAATGATGCCAGTACATAAAACCTTGCCAATGCAAAATGCTCATTTTCTAATAGGATTTGGTGTCAATGATCTAGTCAGTATTGATTGATGGGATGCAAACTGCAAACGCAAACTTCAGATTATAAGATGCATCATAAATTATTGCTATCCAGTCTATTAAGATGAAAATTATTATTATTTTGTGTTATGACAATGTCAGTGAGAACAGTATAACAGGAAATTTGATGACCATGGTAAACTGCATCGCAATGACATCCATGGTCTGCAAGTGATGTGTGCATGTCTGATCTAGTCATCGTATTTAGAAACCTGTCATGTTCAGGCTGGGGAGCCTCATACATGTGCACTGAACTTCTTTTCCTCTTTCTTCTTCACGCTCAGTACTTACATGGACTTAGTTTTTTGAGCATGTGATGAGTTAGTCTTGACTACCAGTCAAACTCCCACCCATCCAATTATGTCTTCCACGGCAGTGGAAAGGAGGCAGGAGATGTGAAGACCATGAGTGAGAAAGCTCATGGGTCAGGATGGGGATCAGGTGGGTCACAGATGCAGATCCTGTACAAACTACTGTTGTGGACCAAACAGGCTTAGCTTGGGGAAAACAAACTGTTTATTTTTTTCCCCAATTATAAATTATAAAATAAATTATAAAATAAATAATTAAATACTAAGTTGTTTGTATTGCGGAAAAAACCTCACAAACTATTAAAACCACAGCTTTCCTCCTGCCTTTTACAGACTCAGCTTGACTCCCTCATTCCTGTCTCTTCCCTGCCTTGTTGGGATGCTGGTTATGCTCAGAGAGGCAACAAGTGGCACGAGAGGGTGGGAAGGTGATGACTTCATGGTTAGCCTAGCAGTTTCTGTCTCCTGCTTCTTTCCTCTCACACCTTTCCTCTGTGTGCTATCTCCATGGGGAAAATCTGCCTTACCATGGGGTTACTTCTTGTCGTCTGACTTCGGTGCTCCCTCTGCCGTTTCTCCTATTGGTTCCCTCCTTCTCTCTGGTGTTTTCTGTTTCTTAAATACACTTTCCTTGGTGCCACCGGTGTGGCTGAGGGCCTCAGGTGTGCCCCATGGTGAGCTGACTAGAGTCTGCCGTCCCTGACACTGGGCAGCTCCAGCCTCTTCTTCCAGAGAACCCTGTGAAACTCCCACTGCCGGCAGTGGGCATTGGCAGCCTGTGCAGAACAGGCCTGCACTTTCTGTAGATTAATAGACCTTCAGGCCAAAAGCTGTCTTTAAATCATTCTGTCTGAGCTCATATATATATAATAAGCTGTTAATTTTCACCTAGGAGTGAGTCTAGTAAATTTTTTCTGACAACTGATGCCACCAGTCTCCAGAAAACTTAATCTCTGAACTAGAAGACAGTCAGACACACACAATTTTTCTGTTATCAGTGAAGGGTGTGGACTTTAGTTTGCTTTTAAGATGTTAATTTTTTTTTTTTTTTTTTTGCCAGCCTCTTGCTCACTGCTGTTCTCTGTACTTTATTAAAGGTAACTTGTTAACTTCAATGAAGTCCACTTCGTGTTGATAAACGTGGAGTGTGGTTATGGATTCTAAACTGACAGTCTGTTATCTAAAAATATTGGCAAACAGTCAACACTGCACAGTCTTGATTTGAACATTGCTTTGGCTGATTCTATAATAGAAATAGGAAAACTGTTTTACTAATTCAAACTTGCATTAATTGGAAATCACAGTTTCTTGAGGTTATTTCTTACCTTGTATAAGGGAAGGGGTCATTTTGGGGGAATGGTTAGCTAATCTGAAGATGATAAAGGTTGTGAAATTCTTTTCTATTTTCTTCAACCTCTGAATCGGATTTTTTTTAATCAATATTTTTGATAATTTTCTCCTTCACCACAGATGTTTTCATGCCAAGGAGGGCATTGTTGCAAGGGCATGGAATGAGGCAGATTTAGGAGAAAACTGACCAGAATCAGTTTTGAACTTGTCTGACTGAGACCTGTTTGAAGGACTTGTGCATATATACATACATTTATTGTTCCATCCAAAGAGAACACTTGTTACAGCATGCCTTATGATAACCCATTATTTTCTCTAATGGTCTTCTTAATTTCAAACATATGACAAGAATGTAATTTCAAGTAATGAGTAAGCCTTGGTTTCTTCTTTCCCTCATCTTCACCTTATGTGTCTTTTGTTGGCCTTCTACTGTACCAAAGAGTAACTGGCACATTCAGACAGAGTACTCTATCTTCCAGGAAACTACTTTCTTAGTCAACTACATCTCACATCCATCTTTTTATCTGCTTTTGTTTTGCCATGTTTCCCCATCACAAAAAAAGCAAGCTTCAGTCTTCCTGTGTTTGAGCTGCCTCAGCATCTGAATGGAACTGATTGATAAGCCAGCAGGCCAGCTGCTGAATTTCATGGGTGGAAAGGTTAAAGAAATTGAAAATGCTTATCTTTTTAGCATTTTTTTTTCACTTTCCCATAGTATAGGAGAAAACTTTGATCTAAAAATGTTAATTATAATTCTCTATGGCATAGTTACAGCTGGCTTCTTAATTCCATGTACTGTAAGGTTACAGGCCATTGGAAAGACAAAGGAAAGCAGATTTCATATTTTATGTCCCCAGGGTTCTATGAACTGATGATAAAGTTTTGCTGAAATTCTGTCTTTACATTTCCACTGAAGCAGTGAAACATCCTAGCAGATCATCACAGACCACTACACTGATTCTCATTGTAATAGTGAATCGTTCTGGGAGTCTGCAGTGTTGTCCAACTACTTTAGTAATTTAATTTTCTTAAGACAATTAGATTCCTAGCTTCGAAAGCTGCTATTTGGTAGCAAAGGTTGTTGTGATAAACACAACCTTTAAAAATAAGTATTTACCTTCTGTTATCTCCTATTAATTGAATAGAAGGCCCCATAAATCACATCTGTGTTATAAAAGAAATATGCTAATAAGTATCAGTGAATTGTATGTAAATACTTTATTTAAACTTGTAGAGGGACAATATCTTTATGTGTTTCAGGCATAAATAAAAGCTGAACTTTTTTGCTTATCACCACTGACATTTAGGTAAACTTCTCTGCTGTAATTTTTCCTTTTGCAAGGAAGATCTCACTGAAAATAGGAAATTTATTATTTTCTAATATATAACAGGTATATAGCAGGCAGCATTTCTAGTATAAAGCAAGCAGCATTTGTATTCTAAATCACTTGTGTTTGTTTTCTAGCTATCACACAGGGCTGGGATTTTTTTTCCCTCTGCTGTGCAGTTGGACTGAGTATGAAGTCTTGACTGTTAATTAGAAGTGCTTAGGAGAATGAAGACGATGTAGCCCACTGGAAGCCAGTGGAATCATATCCAGAAACTAATTACACTATTTTCAACACTTCTGCTTTTGTTTTAGTTGGAGCTCATTCAGTCATGACTTTTAACAGTTTCTTCCCATGATAAGAGAAATGTGCATTTACCCATGAGAGAATCACAAAACACTTCTCTGTCTCATTTTCAAAATTAGATCTTTTAATCACCCTACAAGTTTAGTCCACTTTGGTAAAGCTTTGAAATTCTTCCTGTAGGGTCTACACAGTTGTCTGCTCAGAGCCATATTAGTAACATTCAAGGAAATTGTTTCCACTTGCTGAGTGTTGTGGAGTGCAAACTTAGAGGATGTTAATGGAAAAAGGCTGGCTGGAGTTCAAAATGGTTAATTTTATTATTGGTTGATTGTTTGGGTTTTTTTTAGTTCATGAGAGTCTTGGGATATAAACCAAGTCATATTCATTCTCTTACTTGTAGGCTTTCTTTACCTGAAATACGGGCAGTTCTCTGGGTGGAAGCATGTTTACATTTAACATTTAACCAACTGCTGCTTGTTCTTAAACTTCCTGTTCCCATCTCATCAGGACTAAATTTTCTGTAAGATTGTTAGAAACTCAGACAATGCTTTCTCTGCAGCAATGCTAAAGACTTCATGATGCAACAATAGCACTGCTTTTTGATCTTCTGTGTAGGAGTTTGATCATGAGCCATTGTGCCTATTCTAATGCTCTGAAAGTTTTTGTAATGAGCACAGTGCTGTGTCATGCATTGCTTTTGCTGCAAAGATTGATTGAACCAAGGAAGAGGCAATGTGAGACAGTGTCATGTGAGAAGGAGGCAATATGAAATCATCTCCAGTTCCAGTATATTTGATGCAGAATTGAAAGGAAATTGTTGTAATTTTGGCAAGATGTAAAGAGATTCACTAGTTCAAGGCTACATAATAAGGATTAGTTGGTTGATTGGAATGAAAACTGCTACAGCCAAATAGTTTGAAATCTAAAATAAATTCTTAAGCAAGAAGAATTTTCTTCACTACTATTATCCATATATGTAAGCATGCCAAGAAACTATATGCTGAAAATTCAGGCCTGAAAGTTCTCCTTCTATGGTATTCAGGCTGTGCTAGACACATAGAAAAGCTGTTGGAGCTTTCAGTGCTTTGTTTGTGACAAACAATGTATGGTAAAATCAAGATTTCTTTTCACTACAGAAGAGGACTTCTTTTACCTGACTGCAAGGTCAGTTAATATCTGTCCTCTCTAGTAAACAGATGGTCCAGTGAATAGAGGCTCTTCTTCCTCTCTGAGCAGCTGCTGAAGTGAGGATAATGTAATAAGTACCATTAAAAAAAAAAGGAGTGGGAAGACATGGATCAAACTGATGATTGAGAAGACTTTATATTAAGTAGGAACAAAAGAGCAATGACTACTGTGTAAAATTTTTTTCACAGCACAAAGGAATCCTGTCTTCTGATTTGTGTAGTAACAGGCTGGTTAAATGAATTCCAAACTAACAGAAGAAAACTCTTACTGTTAAGACACTTTCTTTGAGATTTGCAATTTTATGCTATGCAACCAGTATCTTGAAGAATATGATCTCTGCTTGAAAAAAAGTAATGTGTTGCTCATTAATAAGTTGGGCTTTTGTGATGGAAAACATAAAGTTATACAAGATGTATTTCTGTTAAATGAATATATGCTGAATGGTTTATAGCTCATAAAAACATGTTTTACTCTATTTCCCTAGTAAATGTCTTTTTTAGTGCAAGGTTTACAAGCACTTCCAAAGTTTTTGTAAAATAAAGCAGTCTTGCAATGAATTAATATTTTTCAAATACAACATGTAGTAGATATCCTTGCACAATAACATTGAATTGACAAATGGTCTTCAAACATGTTTTGCGTTTCAGTTCTGTTGGGGTACTTGTATCACCCCAGTCATTCTGGAATCTTTTTCCCATCCCCAAATAAGAGACTAGTTCTTTTGTGAGTAAAGCTGCCTTGTTTTAGCTGGCCAGATGAAGTCAGGCTATTGTCCCCCTCTTCTAATCACTGAATCATCAAGCTTGTAAAGGACTTTCAGGATCATCTAATCCACTTGTTAACTGGGGACCACCATAACCACCCCTGAACCTAACCCCGGGTGCTACAGCCACTTCTCTGCTTGTTGCCTCTGTTAGAGCAAGAGGCACTCATTGGATCTGCTGTGTCAATACCTTTAAGGAAAGCCAAAGAGTTTTGCAAGATGTTCAGCTCTTCCTATAAAGCTTCCCACATGTTCTTTGTCAAGCAACGGATCTTTTTAACTGGCTAATAATCTAGCTTAGACGTGCTCTGGTCTTGCAGCATTCTGCTCTTTCATGCAGAGTTGGTAGATTTTGGCTCTGACAACAGATAAAGAATTATGTGACTGCATGATGTTGGATCAAAGTGGTAGATGCAGCTGTGCATATATGGAACTTCACCTTAGTCCAGTTTCTGGGTATAGTGTCCCCTGTATTTACATGTTCAAGATACCAACAGAGGAGGCTTTATCCAATAGGTCTGCAATTTTCTCTCCCCTTTCCATGAAGCTCAGTGTTGCCTTATCTTATGTAAGGTGTTCCACCTCTGGATGTTCCCTTAATCCTCATTTACAAGTCTTGCAGCTTTCACTGCTGAGGTTTGGTTGCCAACAACCATAGCTGTATGACAGGAAACCTCAGCCTGTGAGAGAATCTGTAATACTAAGTGCTGATCCTTAGGTGCAGCTTGACTTCTAGATTGTTCACAGTCCCTTTGTCACTGGACTGTAGTGAATTTCCATTCATTCATCAATATTATTATGCTCAAAGGTGAATTATTCCAGAAGTACTTATGCTAACAACTTCTTTGATGTCTTTACATAGGCATTTTGTAGCTGTTCTTTTCTGTGTAAAAGAATTTTTTTTTCCTTGAAGAGGGTTTAACTTAAGAGCATGAGCATTATTTCTTTTCAAAAGAAATGAAGAAATATTTTCTTTGCAGAACCTGGGGTAAAGATCATTCCAAAACTGTGTTATGCTATAATGCCATTCATTCTACTGTGAAATGCTGTAAATCCAGAGACAAGGTGCAATTTATCACAGCACAGCTTTGGTCCTCATCTTTGTTCTAGTGTGTCAGTATTGCAAATTGTAGGTTACTACCACATCTCTGTATCCCGAGCTGCATAAGTAGTTCGTATCTCTTTGCATCTAGTTAAGCATTGTGGGATTTTTTTCACGGTCGCTTCATTCCAAGTTTCTCCTCTGCAATACCTTCTTGCCACTGCAGTGTCCCTAAGCCTGGGTACAATCTCTGCTTTTAAAGGCAAAGTGCACACAGGCAGTGCTCTCATGTAATAGCTTATGACACCCAACAAGTCATTGAAATATTAACCTAAGACACTTGGTAAGCTCAAAATGTCTTTTGTATCACTCAGCTGCACTCTTTTCTTCAAATGGCTCCCTCTTTTGAGGTCAAAACCTGCACCACAACCCACGGGCTGGGTATGTGTCTCCCTTCCCTTGGTGCTGTTGGCTCTTGTTGGTTACTCTTGCCCTCCACTGTGCTCTGGTTACCATTCCTTGTTTGTTGTTTCTCCTACATAACCACTTCCCATCAAGGTCCTTGTGCTTTTGGGCAACACCCTCTCTCTCCATAATTTGTAATACGAATTATAGTTGCATTGTGCATTGATTTTTGTTCGTTTGGTTGGTGTATTTTTGGTTTTTTCCCAGATGGCATCTGGATTGTCTTTTTGAATGCTCTTCTAGTGATCATAGTCTAGCATATATCAATACCTATATGGGCTAACATGATTTGAAAACAACTTTAAAAGAAAAACCAGAACAAGTATGTGGAACTGGTGGGCAGAAATTCAAACAACTCCCTGTTACTTTTTTATCTGGAAAAAAGTGACTTTTCAACAACAAATTGGAGTGTATTTCAATGTTTTATTTTGTGTTAATTACTTACAATATGCTTTTCTGTATTGTGTGCTATGGGACAACAGTTGCATATAAGAGGCACAGTTGGTTAGCTTTTGCAGCCGTAACTGTGCATTTACTTTGACATTCATCAGGCCTTTGTAAAGCAAAAACTTCCTCCCACACAATTTCTGACTGTTGCCCCCTCACCCTCCTCCAACCGCAGCAGCAACTCCAAGCTCAGTTATAATGATTTTAAAGACAGTCTATCAGTAAAAGGAAGATGGCGTGTCTCATCTGACTTCTGACAAAAATAGTACTTTCATCTTTGCATGATTGTGTATAATTTATTCATAGGCAACACTTGAATTTTAATCACAAGAGTACTGTGATAAACCTTTTCCAGGGCTTTTATATAGGACTGAATAGAAGGCCAGTTGGCTTAGTTTCAGTGCATGTCACGTCTCTGCTCCTTCTTTTGTTCTCAGTTTTTTGCATTATAGTTTCTTCTGCTTGCTTTTATGTAGAAGGGGAATCCTCTGAGACTGGATATGTTTGTTTGTCATTACTGAAGCAACTCTTCCCTGATGAAGGAAGCTTTCCATGAGTTTTTTTCAGCAAGGGACCCCCTGGGCAGTAGACAGCAGGACCTGCTGGGGATGTTTTAGGATTTTCTTTTTAGCTTTGAAGCTGTCTGGGTCTTGCTCGCTCTCAAACTGAAGGTTTTCCATGGTTCCTGGGTTGTGTGGGATCTAGACACATAAGCCTGAAATTTGTGAGAAATAGTACGCCATAAGCTTGATTCTTTTTCAACAGCTTCATAGAACATTTGTAGGTTTGGAAAAGCTATTTAAACCAGCCTTTTTGGACTTCAGTGTTTACACAGAAAAGCTGATGTAGTGCTGCAGAACCGTGCCCCCCATGGCACTTAATGTACCTTGGTTTTTGCTACTGAATATGAAGAGACATCCTGGTGCCACAGTGAAAGGTGGTGGTAAGAGATCCAGGAACAAAGCCCTGTCCTTGCTCTTTCTACATGAAATGATGCAAAGATTACCTAATGAAGTTTCCATGAAGGAAGAAAGATCTTATATTTCCTTTCCCTGTCCCTCCAAAAGTAACAAATCAGCAGTAACCTGCTGTTACTTTTTGGGTATCATAATATATGGAGGTCAGGAATAGTTTCCTGTCTTCTGATCAGGAATTGTGTTGTCAGTAGGAGTGATTGAGGTTTATTTCAGTTACAGCAAGGTGGGCTTTCTTCTACCTTGTACCTGCTGCAATAAATTAACAGTTGACACTGGACTTACTGACTGTCTTGAGTGTGTATTTCAGGAGCACTACCTGTTTAACTAGACAAAAGTAAGAAATGAACAGTATACCTGTTATTCCCCTCTGCAGAACTGACCCCTGAGGAGAAAGCCTTGAAGATTGCCAAAGCCATGCGTAAGCAGTCATCGGAGGTAAAAGAGAAATGGGAGAACCTAAATGCCAGTGCCAGTATCTGGCAGAAGCAAGTGGACAAAGCATTAGAAAAGCTGAAAGACCTTCAGTGTGCCATGGATGACCTTGATGCTGATTTGAAGGAGGCTGAAAATGTGAGGAATGGCTGGAAACCTGTAGGAGACTTGCTCATAGATTCATTACCAGATCACATTGAGAAAACTACGGTAAGTGTGGAACTCCTGGGAAATATTTAGTTTGTTTGTGTGTCAGACCTCTCCATTCTAGTCCCTCTAGTCATATACACTGTATGCTGAAATTCTCATGTGCAGTATAAAGTCTTTAAAGATGGTATCTGAAGTCTCAAATAAAGGCCAGAGCTGGGCCACATTCCCAGTGTTGGCTGGGATTACATACACACACAGATCTGTTTGGCCATCAACTCTAACTCTTTTTAGAAAAACATTTAGAGCTTTCTTAATAACACAGAAATAAATACATAGTTTTAATTTATGTTCCTTGGCTTTCATAAACTAAACATGTCCATTGTCTATTTTTGTTTGTATGAGCAAATTTGCATTTGCTTTTACTTTAGCCTGGCTTCTCACCAGGATTGTTTCAAACTGAAGAACACATATTACCTTATAGTGTTGTTGTGGGCAAACCACTTCTTGCTGCCTGGGATCCATGCAGGTCTCAGCATCCCAAGGCATGGCTGCTTTTGGTGGGTAGTAGTCATCCCCTGCCTAACTTCATGGATAGGGTAGGGACCTGGTAATGCAGAGCTCCCCAAGAAGGAGACTATCTTGTGATAATTAGCATTGTTCAGAAAAGCTGACTGGAAACAGTACAGTGCAGTGAATATTATGGATTCCAGGAGAACGTGTGGGTATGCACATATAGGTAGAGAAGATTGCTGTTTCGGGCAAATTCAGCATTTACTGCTAAGCTTCTGTTTCCCCAACACAGATTTTCATTTTTTAAGCTTAAGAATGAATATAGCAAAGCGTATATATATATATGCATATAGAAGACCCTGGAATTGTGTACCTGACCATCCATGTCTTCAGCATAGGATGCTGGTGTTAGAAGAATAAAATGGGCTGCAACCAGGTTTCTGTAGATATTCTATGTATACAGTGTCTGTGAATTCACAGGGCTACATTATTTCACATATAGCAATGTAAACATTCTCTTTCTCCAAATTATATTGTTGCTTTCAAGGTTAATGGAACTGAAATCTTTAAAACAAAGGCAGTCAAAGGTGAGTCAATATCCAGACTGCTGCTGATTTGAAAAGAGGAATGAATCTCTTCCTTCTTCTCATATTTTAATATAGATGCTAAAGCAAGAAATAAGATGCTAATGCTGTATAGCTCCTTTTTCTCATGCTAAGAAGTGATTTGTCATATCATAATGGCTTTTTCTGTAAAGTAGATGAAAACAAAGTCTTTCAGATTTTCATTGCTGTAACTGTAAAAAAACTGTAATATTTGCTGAAACAATAGGGGCCTACTTGCTGTCCAGAAACCCAGTGTTTCTTTCTTAACAGTATGTTCTTTCTGTTCCTTGGCCTAATGAGAGTGATTATTGAAGGGAGGTAAATAATTAAATTGTCCTAAGAAAATACTTCCTTTACAGCTGTTTTGGACTCATTTAATGATGTTTAATCAAGCTGTTTACAGGATTGAACATTTAACTCCTCACATCAAGCAAGACATTTGAAGCATCTTTTACCTGTAACTAAACTTGCATCAATTTTGTCTTAATACTGTATTTAGTTCGATTTGATTCAATAAACCTTTTACTTCTTTTTAGTCATTGTAATAGCTTTACTCTCTGGTTCTAATCAGGTAAAACATTGTACTGCTTTTCCTTAGAAGATGCATTCTTTCATGCTTTGGTAGTTCAATAATAGTTTTTAAATTGAATTTTTGTCAGCTGCTTAATACTTGAAAACTACTGAACAATGTTTTTCTTAAGAACAGTTGGCAGGCTCTATACTGGTAAAGCTCCTAATATAGTATTGTGTATTTCCCTTTGCAAAGAAAAGCTCTAAAGCCATACAGCACCACAGAAAAAAACAATTAATTAAATTCTTTTAGGGGTGCAATTTGCTTATGGGCATTTCAGTAAGTTTCATACTCTTTTTCCTTAAAGGTGGATATGAGTGATACAGCAAGAATATTGAAGTGAGTGAACTTTCTTTGCTGAGAACTGCCTTGTGTGCAGTTGTTTAGCATAAACTGCCACATTGGGCAAGTCAGCACCATGTGGAGTTTACACTTTTGTGCTACTCAGATGTCAACTGAACGTGTCTTTCTTACTCTTCTAGGCTTTTAGAGATGAAATTGCTCCAATCAACCTAAAAGTTAAAACAGTGAATGATTTGTCCAGCCAGCTGTCTCCACTTGACCTTTATCCATCTTTAAAGATGTCTCGTCAACTGGATGATCTCAATATGCGGTGGAAACTTTTACAGGTATTCTTCTGATTATGTACAGCAGGTGTGTGGGGAGGGATATTTCTCACTCTCCTCTCTTTTCTTAAAAGATTCACTTATTACCATTTGTTCATTACTTCTGTCACACTCAGGTGTTATTCTGTTAGTACCAATGCAACAAAAGGAGCTGCCTTTCCTGCTGTAGCTTGGTCAAAAGCTTTTCCTTTCAGTCTATTTCAGTGGTTTATTCAAACAGGAAACTGCAATAAATTCTGGGAAATAGTGGGAACTCTTGCTGCATGGTTCTTTTGTGTGTCTTGTGGCAGTAATTTTACTGCACAAATCTGTGTCACCAAAAACTGGTGTAAAAATTTTTGTTGTTTCCAGCTTGTGTGAAAGCTGTTTTATTGTCTTTGAATGTTCAGTTTCTGTAGGAAATTTCACTTAAAGTGATTTAAGTATTAGTAGAGCTATAACAAGATATATGCTATAGTAATTTAGCATAAAAAGCAGAAGAGGATATGCTTAAGAGATTCAATTTGCTTAGTTATGATTATTGTGTTTAAATGGTCTGAGAAAAGTAAATCCATGTGCCTGATTACAGCTGAAACTCATCCTTAGTTTCATAGTGAATGATTTAGTGAAGTTTCTTACATCAGTTAAAGTTCATTTATGAATTTTTGAAGTTTCTCCTTTTTTGTGTTTATTTTTGAAGGAAATACTTATTACATCTCTAGTAAGGATGTTGGGAATGAATTTTCAAAATCTAGGCACCAGTTTGTTGGCCAGTAGTTTTGAATGAGTCACTTCTGAGAGTCAAAGCTGTAATTGTGTCATATCACACCTTTCCTTTCCTAATATCATTTGGTAGTGGGGTTTCTTTTCTTATTTTGTTTGTCGGTTTATGGAGGTTTTTTTTTTTGGGGGGGGGTGGGTATTGTGTGTGTCCTCTCAAATTTAGTTAACCACCAAAGTACTGCTACTGGAGTTTCAATTAGACTGAGGGGCATCATGTCAGCTGGTGAAACACCGTCTTCCAATATGGTTCTGTGCTGGAAAGGCAGCATGAGATCAATGCAATCAAACTGAGACCTGCTGACTATGGGAATTTGGACAACACAAGGGTTGAGAGGAGGTCAGAAATTTCAGCAGCTGGCTGTAGTCACCATAAAACTACTGTCGTTATTGATCTACAGTTCTCACACCAGAACACTGCAAGAGAGAAACAGGATTCTCATTAAGCAGATGAAAGAAAAATATGTTGCCTTAAATAGGTAGACGTCAAAAAATTGCTGTGACACACAAACAAATTGATTTCATTAGAAGAAATGCAAACAAGTGATTTTCTTATCCTGTCCTTGGTGTTGCAATGTAGATTTTGAGTGTGTGTTTTTATGTGTAGGTGTCTGTAGAGGATCGTCTTAAACAGTTACAGGAGGCACACCGAGATTTTGGACCTGCATCACAGCATTTTCTTTCCAGTAAGTCCCTTGAATTAATAGATGCATGTAAGATATGATGGCTTTCTCAAATGCTGACTAATCTTTACTCCATGTTTCCCTATGGCTTGAGGAAGTTCCTCTTCCATGATATTATCTATCATCTCCTTGTTTTTGTAGGGATGTTTCATCTTCATAACTTCATTGACATTTTGACTAGTGTGCTTCCCACTCTGTCTTTCTGAGATGAGTGTGCCCTCACTGCTTTATTCTTTGTCCTCTGCTGCAGTGTCTGACCAGTGACTCTTCCAGAATCTTTGCGTGCTTGTGACAACTTTTCATCCTTTGCCAACTTTTTCTTCTGTTTCCTTTTGCTTTGTCACTTGCTGGGATGGCACAAAGGAAGAGCTCCCTGGATTTTTCTTGTTTTTTTGAAGGGTCTGTGTCATACATTCCTGGAACTTCTAGTAAAGGGCTGGGAAAAGCACACACACATTGCTTTCTCAGGACCTATCCTTGCATCTTTTTAATGAACGTTTTAGAGGTGTAAGCCTATAATCTCACATCCACTAAGAAGGCAAAAGCTGAGTGTATGTAATTGTTATGCATAGATAGTTTGTGGTATTGAGGTCCATGTTGGTTTCCTGATGTTCCAGCCTACCTGCCATCATCAGAGCTAATGCGACAGAATTTTAATCCTATCACCTCTCTAGTTTTTCACTGAGAGCTTCTATAAAAAAGATAACATTATTGCAGGAGTTGTGAAGTCAACATAAAAATGAGCAGATCTTTTCCAGAGATTCTGAAGTAGTGTATGTCACTGTATAGCTAATATAATTTAAATCACTAAATAAATCTAAGTGTTTTTTCTTGACTTATGTTACAACCATGTTCTTTTTTTGAGTTGACAGTCGTTTTTTCAGTAAACCAAATGCAGTGTCTATAAAATATTACAGCTGTTATGCAAACCAGCAATTCCTGGAGCCATTTTGTCCTTTTTTTAAATTGAGAGAACAAACAAACAACTTTAAAAGTATAGGATTTATTTAATTTTAAAAACCCTATTAGAAATATTGCATACTGTTGCCACAGTGGTTTTGTAGCTCTTGTAGTCTCAAACTTGTAACCTGACCGGTACATCTATGTAATACCTTGGTAAAAAGATTACAGATCAAGTGCTACCTTTGGCACTGCTGAAGAATGCCGGATGAACTGTTTGTAAGACTAGTCAGTCTAGTCTCTGTAAATAAAACAGATTAGGAAGCAATGTAGAAGTTGTTTCTCAGAATCTAGCTCTCTTATTCTAGTTGAGGGAGAATCAATGGAAGAGTCCACATGTAAAACTTGCTGGGAAAGGTTGGCTGGTTTTGTTTGTCTTGGCCTGAATCATTTCCTTGAATTGGCTTACAACATGCCACAATAAAACACCATGCTCACAGGTCTGAGTGGTGATCTGGCATTGTTGCTGGTTAAAACATTCATAGAATTATGTCCACAGAGACTATGCAGTGCCTTATCAGCATTCCTCAGCCGTGTTTAGGAAATATTCTTCAGGCTTAAGGAGACATTCAGTTTGTTACATACCAAAGTAAAAAAGGGGAAGTTTCCAGAATGGTTTCCATGTTGATAGATACCAGACAGAATTACAGCTAAGTAACACAGTTTTGGAAAAACAATACGTAGTTATTCATTTAAACCATTTGTTAAAAACAACCTCTTTCCCCGGGAACAGCATGGTGGTTACTGAGGGAGAAGGGGGGAAGGAAGGGGAGCCTAGGGGAGGGAAGGGGCAAGAGGGGGGAAAGGCTAAGGGAGTGGCTGATTTAACTAGCACAGCTTAAGAGGGAGATTGAAGTGGGTGCGGAATCAGACTTGGGCCAATGGGATTGCAGATACAGGATGGTTCAGGGCAGGACCACAGGCTTAGAATATACCATACATTTTGGAGGGCTGAGACAGGGCATACCATTTAAACAAAATGCAATGCGACATTTCCCCACACCAACCACAACTAAAGCATCTTAAAAAAACACCAACAACAACAAAAAAACTAACAACCAAATATTTTCTAGAGCTTTAGCAAGACTGAGTTAAAGAACTTATACCTGCAACTTTATATAGTGTCTGGTAAATGTAAGTCAGGAACAGTAAATTCAGAAGTAAAATAATAATAGAAAAAAATAATTAAATCTGGCAAGTCAAAGGCTTTATCCTGAGAGGTTGAAAGACTGTGTATTCTAAATCAAAAATTTCAAACCTTTTTAGCAGCAGTAAGTGACTTCTAGCTGTGAGGAACAAATAGAGTAGTAGTCTGAATAGAACAATCTCAAACTCCCAAGACTGAGATTGATTATATATGTATGTCTTCTGCAAATCTTCATTTCCAAAGTTGCTCTTCTGAATTAGAGGGCAGGTTTTTATCTGTGCTTATCTGACAGCAGCTATTTTCAGTTTACCTCACTTACCTGTTACTCTTCCTCTAAATAGTAAGAAGGAGCCATAACTTGCCATCACACCATTTTCAACTGACTAGATCCCAGTTATCATTTAATCAGGAATTTTTGCTAGCAAGACACCTATTTCTGCCTGTTCGTCAGATTCATGGAATGGTGGAGTAGCCCTGTTTGAAAGGGTCTGACCTCAAAAGATCATGTAGTCCAACCTTTTAGGGGAAAGGGAGCCTTGATGAGATTATCCAGCACCCTGGTTCCACCCCTGTTAGTCCAGTGATTTCATCTCTGCAGTGGCCAGAAATATTTCTGTACTAAAAAAACACAGTGCAGCGTTTGATACTACTGTGTGACTTCTTGGAACACCAATTGCATGGATTCATGCAGACCATCACTATGAAAGGGCTTTTCAAAACTTTAAAGTCTTTTTAAAAACTACCAAGCGATATATTAGCCCTTCATAAAATGTTCTGTGTTAGGAGTCTGAGGTAAAGCTGTATTAGTAGGCCACTGCAATCTACAGTCCCTCTTTTTGTTGAGCTATTTGTCCCCTCCTGTCATTGGGAGGCAGAATTTGGTTGATTTGTTTTTCAGTGCTTTTGAGATGGAAGGTAAGCACTTCTCAAGTTAGTTACTGATCAGTAAATTTTACGCATCCCTAACACAGATAAAGGTGAAAAATCCTTGTAATCCATTATTTCTTGCAAAAAGATTGCTTTTTGCTGCCTCCTGCCTTTAGAAATAGTAAGTTGATTTTTTCTGTAATAATTTTATTTTATTTTATTTCATTTTCCAAGGCTGACGATCCACTACTCTGTTATGTTTTTTGTATGCTTTCTAAGACAAATCCATGAACATCCACAGAGCACTGATTCCACATGTTCCCTAACAAACAGTTTATGTCTCCAGTGGCCTGCTCAAAGCATCTCAGCCTTACTAATATCTGCAGGGCTGCTAGTGAATGCCAAGTTGAGAACTACTATATTCAGTTTACATCAGTGATTTTTAAAAGAGAATGGTAATCTCATTTTCCAGACTTTCCTACAGCAGAGAGCTGGCAATGTTTTACAAAAATTGTTCCCAAATAAATAGAATATTACTTGGTTCATAATAATTAGTAATTTAATTGATTACATTGTTTAGTTCATATTTATGTCAGTGCAGAATATCTATATCTGTCATAGCAAATAAATTGTATTAAAGCAAATTCTTACTTAGCTGACATAATTTATGCACTAGAACAGGAGCCACCATTGGTGCCAAATTGCAACACTAGAGAATGAAACTCTAAAGCTGATGAACACTTTCACCTGTCAGGTTGATTTTACTTTTTTTTTTCTCATATTTATGAAGACCTAAGGGTTATTTTTTTAGCAAGCTACATCTGTTTGAGCACTTAGCCTTTATTATATTTTTTCTTTATCTAAGTCTTTATTGCAAATGTTACCTTCGTCAAATAAAGATGGAATTTTCTCTTGTTTTTTCCAGTAAAGAAAGTGGTTTACTTCATTCCTGTAATTTCCCAAATATTATTCCCAGTTAACCTGTCTTTCAGTACATGAATATTTCTTAAATTATAAACCATGGTATTTTGTGTGGTTTAGGAAGAGGTGACAGCCATGAAACCCTTGGGCACCAGCCAGCTGGTAGCAGGGCAAGACCCATCTCTGTGTAGCTGCAAGAGCCTATGGGGCTTTTACAGCTTGTAAGCCTTCACTGCAGTTTAGAGGGGTCTTGAGGGAAGAGGAGAGAGTTACTTTCAAGTGGATTTTTTTTTTTTTCCGAAGAGGGATGAATCCTAAAGTGGGCCAAGATTGCAGAAAATCACATTAATCAAGAGTTTAATTACTTGAGATCCAGTGTGGATCAAAGCTGTGTCTCATTTTACCAGGGCCCTAAATGGGGGCTGTCAGGACCCCAGAGCAGGCGCTGCCGTGTGTGTGCAATGTAAATTCATCTCATTGCGGTGATTGCGTGTTCCTGCCTGTTCTTTCAATCTCTGCTTTCACAGTGAATCCAGTGCAAGGAGCTTTTTTCATGCTGGAACCCTAATTACCCAGGCACTAGTCTGGTAATTTCTGATATGTGTACCTATGACTTTTCAAAGATAGCTATTTTTAAGTTGGGCGCCAACAGTCCTGTTGGCCTGAACACTTTTCACCTTTTATCTCTTGGGCTCTTTAGATCAGTAGAGTTGCAGTGTCATGCACAACTTCGTGCCTTTTTCAACTCAGTGTGCAGAAACCTTCCTGATATTGTGGATGATATCTGATTTGCATAAATTCTGCAAAGATTACAGTTCTTTGTCAAGGAGTGCTAAGACAAGTTTTAATTGTGTGGTTTTTTTCTTGGCCATAGAGTGTTAATCAATATTAATTTGAGTTGCAAATAGGAACTAAGGGTTGTAACTAATAAAAACAAGGTTGCTATTTCTTCTTCTTTTTCTGTTGCAGAGCATTATTTATACTAGTAGAATAATTTATTTTAAAATCATAAACTGATAATAGTCCTGTAAAGGTAGGAAAACAAGTGTCTGCAGTTTCCCTAAATGCCTAGCTTGCTTGCTCAGAATTTATCATCCTTATTCGAAGTAGAATCAACACATTTGTTTTATTTCCAGTGTGGCATCAAATAGGTGCCTTTAATCATCCTGATAAATTGCCATCATTTTCTTCTGCTGCTATTCTAATTACTGAAAGTAGTCTGGGAAATATTAATTGTTTCAATTTAATTTATTATAACCATATTAATTGTAAAATAAATAAAAGATATTTAGATTCTTTTAGTATGACAGGTGTTTTCTAATAACAACCTTTTCTTTATTTCCTCAGCCTCAGTACAGTTTCCATGGCAGAGATCTGTTTCACATAACAAAGTGCCCTATTATATCAAGTAAGTTTTCCTTGATTCTATTTTTCTGAAGTATAACAGAGTGCTGTCACCATAACCTAGCAGAAAAACATAGGTACTAAGTAGTTGCCAGAAACGCTATTGAGATTTTCTGTATGTAGTGTTATGCTGCCTATATTGTAAAGTAATGCTTAGTGCTTTGTGTGCTGCATAATTTAGAAATAGATAAAAACAAGTCACTGTGGCAAACCCTAATTAAGAGCCTCACTCCCATAAGAAACAGCAGAGGCACTCCAGTGTAATACACTGTCAGTGTTCAAACTGGACTTGTTCTTGTGTGTGTGACTCATTCAGAGTACAAACTGTAGAGGGGAAAAAATTGAATAAATAATGTATTTAAAATCACAAAGTTCATAACCTAGAGCAGGACAGTGGTGACTAATATCTATTGAGCCCGTTCATCATTTTGTGCAAAACTGCTTTGTAAATAGACTGTTCTTTTGTCATCTTCTTTACTTTATGGTAGTTTTTGTAGTAATTTAAGTTAAGGCAAATTTTACTCAGATATAAATATTTACAGAAATTTTACAAATACCTTGATTACCAAGAGGAATGGTTGAGATACTTACTTTGAAAATAATAAGGAATACCTAAGTTAGAGGTGTGGAGATCTTGACATGTTCAATAAAGAGCAGTCCCTTTGGTGTTTTTTTTTAATCTACCAGTGTTTATTTTGTTTGCCTGTACTTTTAAGGTCAAATATTGCAGCTTTGAGAGGAGGATAGGTCTTTGCTAGAAAGGTAAATGAAATTTTAAGAAGGTACCGTGTATAAGCGACACCCAGAGTAGTTCATTTTAGGCTGAAGGAAATCTGTGTTTAAAATGTTATCAGTTTGGGTTTGGGAAAAGAGTAGGGTTTTTAAGTCTGTAGGATGACAGTGAAATGGACCTGAAGATAGTTCATTTTAAAAGAACCTGAGGATTTTTTTACTATTGCATATTGCTCATAACTCTGAGAGCCACATGTTGTGCTTCAAACAATTTACAAGTACTTGAGAGCTTTGAAAGCAGGTAGCAATAAATCTGTCAATCAAACCCATTAGCATTCTTGAGATGTGGCAGTTGTTTTTAAACTGTCATATGAAGATTAATTTCTTTAAAGGGTCTGAATACATAACCAGAAAAAGCAAAAACCTGCTATGAACAACCTTGAATTCTCTATAAAAGCATTTGTGCTTCTGCTCAAAAGTTTTGCAAGAGGCAGCAAAAACTGTGACATGCTAGAGAAGAGGTTCCTGCCTCCCTCCCAATGGAAGAAGAGAGGGCAGAAGTTGCATGTGGAAGCACATTCACTGCTCAGACTCAGGCAGAAATGCTGTTAAAATGATCACACCTGCAGCAGTAATTCATGGAAAACGCTGAAGTAGCAAGCTACTGGAAGCAAGAGGAAAACTATGCTAAACCTGTTGTTTTTTCTTGTGGGTATGTCCTTAGTGGACACTGAATGATCTGTGTTCCTGTTCTACCTTATCAGAGTCAATAGCTGGAGTTGGGGGCATGAGTTGGCCTCAGAGGGTTCTGTGGAGCTCACCAGTTTGTTCAGAGTTGGGGAACAGAGATAGGAACAGATGGAACAAACGAAGATATACCTTCTGATCTGTGCTGAGCAAAGCAAAGATTTTAAACTTTAATATTTCATATGTATATCTTATTTTTTTTTCTTATGTAATACATTCTTCTGAGTTTCCGAGGTTCTCCCTTACCCTACCTCAGCAAAAGTTCAGGTTTTGAGAAATTTTTTATTTTTTTTTTTTTCATTGCTGGTTCAGAAGAAAGCCTTTCCAATATGTGCACTAGGTACAATCCTTCAAGCACACCAGTTGGTGGCAAAGTATTCCCCGGGACAGGCCTTGCTCCTGTCATGGGAGTGTGTTGGTGGCCCTAGAGTTTGATTGTGGAATGAAGCCAGCTGGGGCTCAGAAACAAAACCCAGTATCTCTTAGAAATTATTTTTAATGGTCTTTCACAGAAAGTTTGGTAGGGGGGACAAATGCAGGGCAAGTTCTTTGAGAGTCGAGGTCTTTATAGTAGCAGAGACCACTGTTTTATTTTCAGGATGGCTTTAATGGAGTCAACAGAATTAACTGTTGCATCTCAAATAAGACTTTCCTAGTAATCTTTCCCTACTTTCAACGTGATATATGCTGCTGAAGCAATGTCTTGATTCTTGTGTCTTGAAAAGGAATGATGCTACATGTAACTAGTGGGATTTACTTCTTGAAAAAAACTTGAAGGTTTCAGTAGCTTCACAGTCTGGAAAGAAGACTGACTTTTGCAGTTTCCTACATTTTTTATTTCTTACTGATCTAAACATCATTGTTTTCAGCAGCATCTAGATAAATCAGAGAATTGTGGAAGATAAAGGAGAAAATAGCTGATTCTGAACTTCATTTGCTTTGTTATGATGAGGCTGGAGAGTACTCTTGGGTTTAAATACCTTTTTAAATCTTTGTTGCTTAATTTCAGACACAGTTTAAAGAAGAGAGAAAAACAATACTGACACAAAAAACTTACTAGTTTGGAATGATTATATGGAGTAAGGCAATTCAAAAGAACAGTCAATAAGATTTAATGATTTTTTTGTATATAGAAAGAAAAGCTAGGAAAAAGAGAGAAACTGATTTTTTTTTTTTTTAATTATACTAACACCTTTCAATGAGTTGCCTTTGATGTAAAGCACAGCATGAGTAGAGGGAACAGCTGCAATAAGTCTCAAAAACTTTATTATTTGAGAGCAACTGACTGTATTTACAAGACTTCTGTGGTCAGAGGGAAGATTTAAGATGCCAGTTGTTCATTTTATGGTATAGCAGGGCAAGGATAATAAAAGTATGATCCAGTGATTGGTGGCTGAAAAATGAGAAGTTTTAAAAATTAATTTTGAAAGGGAAATAAGTGCTAATTGAAATCAGGTTACTTAAATTCTGAATAAGAACACTTTTTTTAGACAACCATGAATTTATAACTTTGCTTCATTTTGATAGCTTTTTGTCTGTGTCCTTGAATGAGAAATGTTAAATATTCAGAAAGTCACACAGCTTCAGATGATGATGTAGTTGTACCTGTGCTGAGTATTTGGGAAGAATAAGAAAAAAGAACCAACTGCAGTCTTCAGTTTTATTGCACACAGAATGTAGTTTAAAAATATTAGAGAACTGCACCTGAGAAGGCAGGAGAAAGTACTTTAGGTAGCAATTAGTCAATAAGGAGAGTGTCAAAATGATGCAAGATGTCTGTATTTTCAGATAAGAAACACTTTGTTTGGTTCCTGGCACCAGAGGTAGCTTGCATTTACATGGGTAGAGAGAAGTGGCTCAGTGGAAGGTCTTTGGTGTGGTGACTTTGGAGTCCAGTTTGTTGTCCCCACCCCATTTGCTAACGGTTGGCACGTCTGCCCTTTCTGGGGTTGTATTTAATCAGGTAATGAGGCACAAGAACAATCAAAAAGCCAGTGTACAACCTCCTCTGCCCTACAAGTTCAGACAGAGGCAGTCTGGTTTGGGGTGTTTTGGAAGGAATCGACTATCCTGCTTAGGTGGAAGAAGGATTTTCAGGTTTATCAAAGTGTGTGTTTCCTGGGGTATGGTGGATATTTGAACTGAACTTACACACATGATTTACCCTGTAACTTTTCTTCTCTTGAATTGTCTTACTATCTAAGCCAGATTTTTGAAATGTTGTTGATTCTGTTGATGTGATTTTAATTTAATCCTTTTTGCCTTCTGTTTGATTTTTTTTCTTAATACAGTTATAGAATATTTTGTCTTTCTGTAGTCTGTAGACACAGTAAAATTCAATGAAAACCTTAATCTGTAAAATCTTGATGCTGCTGGAAAAAAAAAAAAGCATAGTCTTTCGTACTTTTTCAATTGAACAATTAAGCATATGGAAGGGAATGCAACACAGAAGGCACAGTATTTACCAGTGCACTTTATGCAATAAAAGTGTGAGGTTTGGGCAAAAGGTTTGGCAAACTTGCCATTGAACACATTTTTCATAGGCTGATTGATAAATATTTGAGATTTAATAGGGAAAAAATTTTTGTTGTTGTTCATTTCTAATTATTTGGATCATACAAATAAGACGTCCTTGGCCTTCATAACAGTAAATTTAAAAAAATAAAGCCTATATTACATTACATTTCAATAAAAAATATTCTAAAAAGAAATAGAATACTAAATTAAACACTATAATCATGAAACATCCATGAGGGAAACATGATGAATATGCAGAAAGCATAATTACCCTAGCATTTCTCACTGTTTTTCTTTTAACTATAATTTAAGTGTTCTTTGGCTGTGTACCTTTCAATGCCATAAATTATTAGATATTTGTGCAGTGCAGAAGAAACAAAAGGGCAATACAGAAGAGGTTGCAGTGAGTTTAATCTCATTCAGGGCATTACATAGGGAGAGCAGTTTCTTGTTGCAACCATTAAATTGATCGATATCAAACGCCATTGTTGCCTTGCCTTTTCTGTAATCCTGCAAAGTGGCTGGCATCACCAGCGTCTTAGAAATTCTATTTTATCACCTCCTATATTTTGTTCAACTTTATGGGGACAGGAATAAAATGTTTCCTGCTTCTCCATTTTTTAAGACTCTTCAAAAAGTCTTTGCTGATGTTTGGTTTATGCCTGTATGTGGAAGAGGGGGAGAAGTAAAGGAGCAGAGAGAAAAAAAAAATCTTATTATAATTATATCCATAATTTCATTCTTATAAGTATTAGGTGTTTCCCTTAGAAGGGAAAAAAAAATCTAATTTACAGAAAGAGGTAATACAAGTTTGAAGGTTTGAGAGTTTCTTCAATTACCAGTTCCTGTGCTTGTCTTCATTTTCAATTAAAGAAATGCAGTAGCCCATTTCTCTGGAGCGATTTCAAAATATCTGCATATAAATGGTTCTACCAACCTCTAAGGTGCAATACCCTTGTGATGCATTATGCCAACTCTTTTCACCACAAAACAGTATTTTCTAATGGG